CCTATTGGAAAAAAAGGGATGCAATATAAAATGAAGACTTATAATTTTTGTAGTCATCAACTCAATGTATTTATAGGTGAAAAATCTACTATACTAATAAGAGCCCAAGAGAGTTAGGCCTATAATGGGTAGAAAAAATGGCGGTTAAATTTTTTAATCAAATGAATGGCTCAGATTGATCAGATTTTAATTTTTCCTTAAGATTTCCTAATTTATCCTTAATGAATGTGATTTTCCGTTAACTTTTCCGTTAAATATTATATTTTTCGTTAATTTCTGTTAGTTCACCGTTAACTTACTCATTTATTTTAATAAGAATTTAAAGGTCTTAGGTTCGAACCTCATCCCAATCAAAGTTGGCATAATTAGTACTCTATTTTACTCTTATTAAATTAATTAAAAATTATAATTTAGTAGCTACAACAAAAAATAATACATATCATTTTTAATTTAGAATTATGTGTCAAAAATGCCTTTATTCAAAAAAAAAATTATTCATTATCAATAAATTAAATAAGAGAAATAATTTCATTAGTTATATTGTATTTATTTTTCTCCAATATAAAAATTCTTTATATTCAAATTCATCAATTGATTATATTTGCTACATTGTCCCACCAATGTCTTTATTAAAAAAATAATTCATTATTAATAAATTAATTAAGAGAAATAATTTTATTAGTTACATTGTCTTTATATTTCTCCAATGTAAAAATTCTTTACATTCAAATTCATCAATTGATTATATTCACACATTGTCTATTACCTTTTTTTGTGCACTATTTTTTTTAATTAAATATCAAAGTTATAATACAAAATAATGCTATATATTTATTTACCAAGTATTTTATTAATACCATGGAAAAAATAAAAAAAATATAATTAATAAAGCTAATCATATTAATTACTTGAAAGATTTGTTGACAAAGAGACTATTCAAATCACACAACAAATTAAAGTGAGAACAACTTCGCAATATCCTTGTTTGACAATCAGCAATTAGCGGTTAGCGTTAGCGGATTATATTAGCGAATTTGACCAGCGAATTATATCAATGGTTGGTAAAAAGATATTTGAAAAAATTAGTTGTTTAGATTAACATGTAAAATGACCTAAGGGTATGATGATATAATAATAATAATAATAATAATAATAATAATAATAATAATAATAATAATAATAATAATAATAATAATAATAATAATAATAATAATAATAATAATAATAATTGTTTTAAAAAAATAAAAATAAAATAAAAAATATAATTAAGTCAATCATATTAACTACTTGGGAGATTTATTGACAAAAAGAGTACTCAAATCACACAACAAATTGAAGTGGGAAACTATCTCGCAATGTCCTTGTTTGGCAATCAGTAGTTAGCTCTTCAATATTAGTATATACGAAGTATTTAATAATTTATGCCCTAATTTTTATTTTCTCTCCCTTATGTCCTGTATTTGGTTTCAACCATACCTATACAATTATTTTATTGACAACTATAATCAATCTTGACTATATTATCTTGCATTTGTAAACTTAGAATTGTCTATTTAAATACACAAATTTAACATTCAATTATATATGCATGAACAATTTCAATATAATCTTGTATTGATATACTTTAAAATACTTATTTAAAAAAATATTGGGCATTATCTCAATCGCGCAATGCGCGCAAAAAACTAGTATGAGACTTATAAATTTGTAAAAATTTTCAAAAAGAAAGTGTATTTATTTATTTAAGGTATTGCCCTAATCAATTCATTCTATTGATATTCATAATCAATTCATTATATTAATATTCCTAATTAATCTTATTCCTAATTAATTCATAATATTGATATTACTAAATTTCCATTTTTCATTTGCTTACCAATTAAGCTTTATTAAGTATTTCACCAATAAAATATAAAATATTTAATTAATTTGACTACAAAAGTTTGGGCGGGAAAATGAAATAGGAGGATTTTACTTTTATATATATATATATATATATATATATATATATATATATATATATATATAGATATATTTCTATTTTTCATTTGCTTACCAATTAAGCTTTATTAAGTATGTGACCAATAAAATATAAAATATTTAATTAATTTGACTACAAAAGTTTGGGCGGGAAAATGAAATAGGAGGATTTTACTTTTATATATATATAGATATAGATTATATTAGTAAACATATATGAAAGAAAATAAAGCGTCAAAGGCACCATAAACACACAACAGTGGTGCTCTGTCCCTCTCTAGAAACTACTTCTCGACTTTGTTTTCCGACATCTTTCTTAACTCCAGATCTGTAAATTGCAGTGATTTAAGGATGTTCTTCAAAGAATCGGTAGTTTCAAAGCACAATTGGTGATCGTCTGAGCTAGATTTGTGTTTCCTATGTTAGATTGTTACTATTTTTTTGTTCTAACCGTGATTTTGCAGACGCAAATGTCGCCGGCATATGTTCTGAGAAGAGTTCTCCGTCATTTTACCAAACCCAGTTGAGTTTACAACCATTTTTGACTGTAACCGGTTGTTTGATCATGATAATCAATTTAATTCCTAAAATTTGGGTTTTTTTAGAAGAAATTTTTTACTGATTCCTGTCTTAGTTATGTCTGTATGTTCTATTTAGTAAGATTTTACCATGCATGTATGTATACTGCATTTTTAAGATCCTTAAATGTTATTTTAAAGAACTTGCTTTAGATAACCCAAATTTCAGTAAAAAGCATCCTAAATATCTTAGATAGGTAATGATTTCTACTTGAATACGTATACTTTTTAACAAATGTTCTACTGCTCTATGAATTTTATTATGTTATGCTTTCTGTCAGATTGTTTCATGCATGTATATATTACAGACCCTGCACTTGAACGGCATAAAAGCTATGATGGATTAGTTTTATAGTAGTAGGTTGTACTCATTTCTTGGAATACTAAGAGTTGGGATGGAAAATTACAAACATGTTTATTAATTATGTTGCGTATTCATTCTTGCCCATTCATTATATGGCTTAATTCATATTTACATCTCTAGTGTTCAAATAAACTATGATATCTCTTTAAGCAATTGTTTTTTGAAAATTTTTTAAATATAATTTTTTTAAAACCAAATGAAAGTTTAAAACACACTTAGGGCATCCCCAATAGGGGTTCTTTCCCTAATTCTGAAACAGTAAAATCTACATGTTTAACTTTTTAACAAATGGGAAGCAAAAAAACACACCACATTTTTCTCCTGCAAAAAAATAAAATAAAAATAAAAAAATTTGTCAGAATTTAAAAAAAAAAAAAAAAAAAAAAAAAGGATGAGACGCGCAGGTGCGTCTCACCCTATACACGCGCCCGCCAAGACGTTTCAGAGTGGTCGCCAACTGGCGGCCACTCTGAAATTAAGTGATTTTTGGATTGGCAACGGCCTTCGGGCCGTTGCCAATTAATTAATTAATTTTTTTTTTTGTTTTTATTGTTATAATTTTTACATATTAATAATATGATTTTTGCTATAATCATGATTTTTGCAATTAATAATTATGATTTTATTTGCTATAAATAACACATCTTTCACAATTTTTAACACTTTTTATTTACAATTTTTACGTATGCTAATTTACATATTATTTTTACGTATCATTTATGTTTATCTCTAAAATTATAAATGAAATAAATGAAATAAATAAATAAATAATTAAGATGATAATATAATTGTGTTGTATTCAATAAATAATGCCTGAGAGTACAGGAAGCGAATATATAGAGATGCTAGATAGAATCCTAGTCTAACACGAATAATATAGTCCTAGTCTAATATGGATAATAGAGTCCTAATAGTCATAATACTCCCCCTCAAGCACAAGGTTGGTCAGCCAAAATATTGAGCTTGCAACGGAGTAAATTAAAACGTACAGACGAAATAGACTTAGTAAAAATATCCGCTATCTGATCTTTGGTAAAAATAAAATTGACTTGTAATTCCTTCTTCGCGATTTATCACGAACAAAGTGGTAGTCGATCTCAATGTGCTTGGTGCGAGCACGAAACACCGGATTAGCACATACATAAGTAGCTCCCAGATTGTCACACCAGAGTTTGGGCACAGAAGGTGGCGCAAACCCGATTTCCTTCATCAGAGAGATGAGCCAAGTAACCTCTGCAGAGACATCAACCAGTCCTTTGTATTCAGCCTCAGTTGATGAACGAGCCACAGTACGTTGTTTTCGACAAACCCATGAGACAAGATTGGTCCCAAAAATACAGCAAAACCACTAGTAGATTTGCGATCATCAGGATTGCCAGCCCAATCCGAATTAGAATATGCATGAATATCTAGAGAAGGAGAAGACGTAATCTTAAGACCAAGATGTAGTGTCCCATTTACATACCGTAACACCCTCTTGAGAGCTGCCCAATCCGCAGTAGAGGGAGAGTGCATGTGTTGACACAAACAATTGACTGCATAGGAAAGATCAGGCCGAGTTACAGTAAGATATTGCAGAGCACCTGCAAAGCTGCGATACTGAGTGGGATCAGCGTATGGTACCACGGATCATCATAACGCCAAACACAATCATCAACGTCTCGTCGTTGACCGAACCGCTTCTGATACTGTGTATCTTGGTTTGATGCCATCGGCTACTGCTACGAAGTGAGGAACATGGATGTAGAAAACCCTGGCTAACTGATACCAGATAAAAATATAATTGTGTTGTATTCAATAAATAATGTCTGAGAATACAGGGAGCGAATATATAGAAATGCTAGATAGAATCCTAGTCTAACACGAATAATATAGTCCTAGTCTAATATGGATAATAGAGTCCTAATAGTCCTAATAATTAAAATATAGAGATAAAATGGTGGGTCCACAAAAAATTGTGAACAAACTTAAAATTAATGGGAAAAAGAGATTTTGTGATTGAGTGAGATAATGGATGATGAGGTAGATGTTGGGGCCACTATTGAGAATGCCCTTATAGCCGAAGTGTTTGTATTTGACACAAAGTGAAGATAAGAAGGAAATTAAAAAAAGTTTGGGACTTTACTCGCCCCTTTATTATGACTTCAGCTCAATGATACTGTTGAGAACCAAACCAAATGGGTGGAGTGACGTCATCCATCGCCGCTAAGTTGGCTTTCTTCCCACCGAACCCTCCGTCGTACACGGTGGTCGCCGACGAGTCCTGCGCCGGGAAGCTTAACATACCGGAGGTTCCCGCGAGGGATACTGTCGACGTTTTGAAGCTGCGGACTCGAAAGGGCAACGAAATCGTGGCCGTCCATGTGAAGCATCCAAATGCGTCGGCTACTATGCTCTACTCTCACGGTAATGCCGCCGATTTGGGGCAGATGTTTGAGCTCTTCGTGGAGCTGAGCCTCCGGCTGCGTATCAATCTCATGGGGTAAACTTCTTAAATTTTGGATTAAATTTAGATATTTTTCGAATTTATCAGTCTTTTGATTGAAGCTTTCCGTTTATGTATCTGTGAATTTAATGGCTTTCAGTACTCCTATTCGCGGTTTTAGGAAACATTAGATTCTGTTATATGTTTAGAAGATTCTATTCAGTACTATTGCCCACAAAAGGCAAAATCCCTTGCCCCCGCCCAGACAGGACTGTGGAGGAGTAATTGAGTAAACCCATAAGTCATTAGTGGGAGTGGGAGGACCGCCTGGTGTCCACAAGGGTGAAAGATTTTTGAACCTTTTGTTGGTTAGAGCAAAAAGATTCAACCTTTTTTCACTTTGGGTGACATTGGAAGTGATCCTCCAAGAGCCCAGCAAAGTTTCCTCTTGTTGTCACAGTTGGATGGCACGAAAAAGGCATAATGCGAAGCCTGAAAATTTTCTTCCAGAGCATTGGTTAGGTTATATAAACATGATTTTGATCTGTCTTAGGGGCAGCTTCACTATAACTTGCATCTTCCCAATCATTTGAAGGAACATACTATCATATCACATTCGAATTATCAGTTATAATTCGCTGATTCTCGTTGTTGTTGTCAGTTTGGTAGTGAAGGATTTGTTAATTTGTCAGTTCTTTCTTTGTTGGAGCGGGAGAGAAGGAAAAGAGGAATAGAATACCTTTCTGTAGCACACCTTAAGGCTGACTGGTGCATGAAATTTGCATGTTGAATTTGTTATTCTGTGCGTGAGATATCATTGAACACTAACCATGTAGAAATCTTGAAATGAAATAATCAAATTGCTGCGTTTTTTCTGAATAAGTTTGTTTTCTGATTTGTTTATATCTTATTTCCTTTTAGGTATGATTACTCTGGATATGGACGATCAACTGGAAAGGTTAGATGTATACTTCCCTTTGAAATATATAGTAGCTTATATAATTTTATCAAAATGGAGATAATCCCTCCCCTCTCTCTCCCTCTATAGCTGAATTGACCCTGGTTTTTTGTTGATTGGGGGTGAGGGGCTAGGTGGGAATTAAGAAAGTAGGGATGGAGATCGATAAATAGATCTGGTCTAGAAATACTTGCAAAGATATTATGATAGCAACATCTGCCTTGACATTGTAGTACAACTAAGACACGTTGAGATCGAGGCATAGGTGCACAGCATTCCACCTATAAAAGGGACTTTAGGACACACTTACGAGTCTTGAGCTATAAACACGTTTTAATAATAGAACTTGCACATGATCAGAGAATGCTAAAGCGTCCTCACATTTCATGGCTATATTCTCCTTGTTTTTGTTTATATTCCTGTTGTCAAAAACATAACAGGCTTCATTTTTTTTTTCTGGGACAGCCGTCTGAATGTAACACATACGCCGACATTGATGCAGTTTATAAGTGCCTAAAAGAGCAGTATGGTGTCAAAGATGAACAGTTAATACTGTACGGCCAGTCTATCGGCAGTGGCCCCACCATTGATCTCGCATCAGGTGTGCAGAATTTGGGAGGGGTTGTTTTGCACAGTCCAATCTTATCTGGGCTACGAGTGTTGTACCCTGTTAAAAGGACATATCGGTTTGACATTTACAAGGTAAAAAAGACTCTTGTACTTCATTTTTCCTGTACTTTTGCCCTCTGGGACTTACTTGATTCTGTTATTTATTTCAGGATATCGACAAAATCAGTATGGTGAGCTGTCTTGTTCTCGTCATTCATGTAAGTTTGCTGTGCCATTTTCTTTCCTATAACCCGTTTGGCCGAGGAATAGTGCCTAATTAGTTATCTTGCTTTCCGAAAAGTCTCATTATCCATGCTTCCCAGGATCCCGTGTTGTTTAGACAATTAATGAAAGTTTTTGTTTCTGTATTTAGGGAACAGCAGATAAAGTTGTTGATTGCTCCCATGGAAAGCAGCTTTGGGAGCTTTGCAAGGAAAAATACGATCCTTTATGGATAAACGGAGGCGGGCACTGCAATCTTGAACGTTACACCGAGTACATCAAACACCTGAAGAAGTTCGTTTTGAGTCTAGGCAAATCAAAACCACCCGCAAATCTTGCAACTACTTTTCAAAAAATCAATTTTATTTTTCTTTACTTTTTGTACTTAGTTTTTTTTTTTTTTTTTTTAATAATACTTTTGTATTTAGTTATATACTTTACCCATAGAGGTATTAAGAAAAAAATTACAATATTTTGATTTATGAGAAATCTTGCAACTACTTTTTAAATGTTTGTTTTGAATGAAATTCATATTGTGACCCTAACTTATAAATGATGTAAATCAGTCTACGTTACTCATAGCAGAGTTGAATTTAGAATTTTGTTGTTATCAAATCAATTATTTGATCAACTAGGTTAGGAAAAAAAATTACAATACTTGTAACCATAAATCATCGTTCTTGTCAATATCATAAAGTTTTTGTTGAATAATAAGTAATGGGTTTGAAGGGATTTTTTTACAATGCTGATCCACAGGCATTGTACTGGCAAATTATGCCCTGGACCCGTGTCCACATTGAATTGTGGACACGGACCCAAAACGACGTCGTTTTTAAAAAAAAAACGCGTCATTTAGTTAAAAAAAAAAAAAAAAAATCGCGCGCGTTTTGCCGTTAACGGCGTTATTTTTTTTTTTTTTTGGATTATGAATGTACAATTATGCCGTTATGAATGTACAGTTATGCCGTTATGAATATACAGTTATGCAATTATGAAATTATGAACACAGAGCTCTAACATTATGAACTTACAATTATGAACATATATAGTGATAAAATTATGACCATGGAGCTTTAAAATTGTGAATATAGAGCTTCGAAGATTATGAATGTACAGTTATGGAGTTATGAATGTACAGTTATAGAGTTATGAATCTACAGTTATGGAGTTATGAATCTACAGTTATGAGATTATGAATCTACAGTATGGAATTATGAATGTACAGTTATTGATCAAATTATGAACAAAGAGCTCTAACATTACGAACTTACAATTATGAACATATAGTGATAAAATTATGAACATAGAGCTCTAAAATTGTGAACATAGAGCTTCGAAAATTATGAATGTACAATTATGGAGTTATGAATGTACAGTTATAGAGTTATGAATGTACAATTATAGAGTTATGAATGTACAGTTATGGAGTTATGAATGTATAGTTATTAAAATATAGTAATAAAATTATGAACATATACTCTTACAATGAAGTGGTCTGAAATTAAATTAAAAAAAAAAAAAAAAAAAAAAAAAAAAAAAAAAAAGAGATAACAGTGCCTAACGGCACTGTTACCCGTGTCCAGCAAGCATGCTGGACACGGGTCCAACGCATAACGATTGCATTGTACTTGGTATTATTATGTAAATTAAGTATCTTTAGTACCCTACCACCGACTCCACTGCCACTCTCAGTCACCAACGCCACTGGACAGTAAATGGAGAAATCCATGGACGAGGCAGACCAATTTGAAGAAGTCATCTTTAGCTTTCTGCCTTTCTGGATATTGGACACTGATGAAGCTATTTCATTATTGTCTTCTTATTCCCATCCCCGAATAACTGATATTCGTTTAGATCTTGCTTCTCCACCCTCGCTGCCCTCAGTTTAAAAAAAAAAAAAAACAAAAAAAACTGATAGCCACTTAGATCTTTTTGCTGCTAGTGTGTTTCCTGTTTGAATCTCCATCGTCATTTTGTTTGTACACTGTTTATGAGCAGGTCAAGTTCTTGCTAGCGCAGTGGTACACCTAAACTAAATTTTTTCTTACTTTTTGTTTTCATATGTTTTTTGCCTTCTGTTTTGAGTGTTTTAAGTTCAATTAATGGTTTCATAGGTTGCCTATAGAGATTAGGGATTAAAGAATGTCTGTGTAAAACAGTTCAGGTTTTTATGAGATTTTGGATCGATCATGCAAAAAATGATGTGAATTACTACTTGAAGTTGTGAAAGATTTGCACAATAAGGAATAGGCTGTTACTTGTACATAAACCAATCTGTCTGGTAAGTTTTGAAAGAGCTTTGTGAATTCGACGGAGGGAGAAGCCCGTCGCCGGCAAGTGTAATCTTTTTAAAAAAATTTATTTTTAAATTAATTTTTTTTTTAAAAAAAAATTAATTTTACCTACTATTACCTTTAACTTACCTGCAAATTGATCTATTTGCACAAATTTAAAAAGTTAGTGGTTAAATTGCATTAAAATGAGGAGTTAAGGTGTTTAATTGAAGCTTTTGTTAGTTTAAGGGTTTAATTGCTCTTTAGCTTATAGTTGAAGGGCTTATTTGACCCTTATCCCTTTATTTATTTATTTATTTTTTGTTTTTGTTTTTAACAACTACTAGTATTTTCACCCGTGCGATGCACGGAATGGAATTGTTGTAATATATTAAGAATATTTAAATTGATATATAATTATTTAAGAGTTGATTTCACCAGAGGTCGTTTATCTTTCCTGACAATTCCAAATTTAATCCTAAACTATAGTTATTAATTATTACAATTTATTCTATGTTACAACTCTTACGTTAATATTCTTACTATTATTATTATTAACACTTAATTACTTTTAGATATTATTATTACCACTTATATTATTATTATTATATTATTATTAGTTTCTTTTCAAGTACTGTTAGTATATAATGGTCGTGAGGCACAATAATAATATAACCATAATTAAATATTCTTGTATTGTATTCCGGAGTTAATGCCATTTTTGGTCCTAGACTTATTGAGGCATTGACACTTTTCATCATCCATAATTAAAATTGCCACTTAGTAGACACTATTATTGGTCGTTGGACAGTTTTGATCCTCCGTCAATGAAGCCGTTTGTTGACCGTGAATTAGAAGGGCTTTTCTGTCTTTTTATGTCTTATTCTTCTAATCTTGTTTAGACCAGCGCTGCTGTGACTCCTGTGAGGTGAGATGGCGAGACTTGGCGGCTAAGTAGTAACCGTCGGTAGTGAGTAGCAGCGAGGTTCTTCTCCGGCGAGTTGTGGATACGGCGGCGAGCATACGAGGCAGTAACTCCTTCCGGCGACGGACCAGTAAGGCAGATCTGGTGGTGCAGCAACAGATCCGGCGAGGTTGGGGCCTTCACCGGTGGTTTTTGGTTCCGGCGAAGCAGAGAGGGCAGCAGGTCGGCGAACCCTCCTATGGTAAATAGCAGTTGTAGTTGTAGATGGCGTGATGTAGAATTTGCACCTGTAAGTCCTCCCTTCCATATTGACCACAAATATCCTTCCCATCTCTCTCTCTCTCTCTCTCTCTCTCTGACCACAACTACTTGGTACACAACCTCAAAAACTCTGTTATTCTACCTGAAATTCATTGAAGTTTCAAGCTGAAAATGTGGAATCCGCCGCTCCCCAAAAATCGCATTGTCTGAGGTGTTGGAATGGCTGGTGTTGACTTCCTGGCTGCTGTAGCTTCATTCCCAACCCAGATGATAAAATTCGGAGCACCAGCTTTGAGGTTCAAGGAGGTGGTAACACTGGCAATGCTTTGATAAAACCCGGATGATAAAATTCGTCTTGGTCTTAATCCAAGAATCATATCTAAGGTTGCTGATGACTCGCATGGCGAAAGAATACTTGATGAGCTTGAAAGGGATGGTGTTGATACATCTTTTATAGTAGTGTCCAAAGGAGGAAACTCACCATTCACAGATGTCATTGTTGACAACCAAAAAAAAAAACTCGCACGTGCATTTTCACTCCAGGATATCCACCCATGATATCTGAGGGTCTACATACCCAAATCAAAATTGTCTTCAGCGCTTGGAGTAAATATTGTCTACTTAGATGGAAGGCTGCATGTGTTAGTAATAGTAATATTTCATGTTTATATTATATGCTTTAGAGTCTATGGATGTAATGTAGTCAAATAGTCCTAGCCTTAATAATAGGAGAGTCTTCTGTTAACTCTCCTATAGGACTCTGTAGTTCTCTCTCTGTATTCGATTGGTTCATTCTATTGAATTTGTAATTCATCGTCTCATCTGGTATCAGTTGCGATAGGATTGCATTTCCGTTTCCTATTCTCTTTCCGCTTCCTCTCTCTTGCAAAAGAAACGACGATGTCGTCCGGTTCATCTGAACGAACCATCACCAACTCCACCCCCACTGTTCCGACCACCCCTAACCCCCTCTCTGCAGCTCATCATTTCGTTCCAATGAAGCTCACCTCAAGGAACTATCTTTTCTGGAGGACTCAGCTTCTCCCATTCCTCCGTGGCCAAGGCTTGATGGGGTATATTGACGGCAGTTTTCCGTGTCCTCCTGCAACTGTGACCGTCACGTCCGCGTCCGGTGACTCCACGGCCACCGCAACCACCACATCGGCGAACCCTGCTCATGCGGCCTGGGTCCAACAGGACCAAGCCATTCTGTCCATGCTAATCTCATCCTTCTCGGATGAGGTTATGCACCATGCACTCGGCCGGCACACCGCCAGAGACGTGTGGGACTCCGTCACTTCGGCATTAGCGCCCACCACTCGATCCCGCTGCCTGAGTTTACTCGGCCAATTCCAGACGCTACGCCAAGGGAGCAATTCACCGGCCGAATACCTGGCCAAGGCACAGACGATCGTGGAAGCACTTGCACTCGCTGGCCGGCCATTATCCGAGGACGAACAGGTTCTGTATGTTTTGCGTGGGCTTCGACCGGAATTCCGGGCGATGGCAAGCTCACTGACTGCCTCTGGCAACTCCGTCTCTCTATCACAACTTGCGGATCACCTGCAAGCACAGGAGTTTATTCACTCCGATGATTTTGCAGTGGACTCTGGCGCAGGTGGTTCCCCCTTCGGCCTTCTTTGCAGGTCGCGGCAGGCAGAATGGAGACTCAGGTGGCCGGCAGACTTCCGGTGGTCGAGGCCGGCAGGGTCGTGGCAGAGGCGGCCAAGGGCGCGGTGGTACACCCCGATGTCAAATCTGCAGGTCGCATGGCCATACGGCCATTTATTGTTATAAGAGGTATGCAGATCGTCCAGCACCACGCCGCAGGCCATGCGAACGTCGTTGTAGCCAATGAGCCGCAGATGCATCCGGTTGCCGATGCCTGGTATCCGGACACGGGTGCCTCTTCTCACGCGACTCCGGATGATCAGATGTTGCATCACTCCGAGGCCTACACCGGCAGGGACGTGCTCACAGTCGGTAATAGCACAGGTTTGGGTGTTTCCCGTGTGGGTCATGCAGTTATCCCATCCCACTCTAAACGTTTAACAATGTCTAATATTCTCCATGTCCCAAACTTAACTTTGCCATTATTGTCAGTTTATCGTTTTACTAACGAAAACAACGTATATTTCGAGTTTCATAAAAATTTCTTTCTTGTGAAGGATTGCAACACCCAAACGGTTCTTCTTAAAGGATCCACTTCGGGCGGTTTGTACAAGCTGCTGGTCCCGCAAACTCATTTTGCGTTTCTGTCCGCCCGGGCGTCGTCACATGTGTGGCATCAAAGGTTGGGTCACCCGCATCACCAAGTTCTCCAACGTGTCCTAAAGAAGTGTCCAGTTGTGCCAAATAAAACCGCTTTGTCAAAAGTTTGTACTGCGTGCCAGCTTGGAAAATCAGCACGTTTTCCATTAGATAGAGTTTCAAACACTAGTCATAATGTTTTAGATTTATTGTATACGGACATTTGGGGTCCGTCGTCTGTTATTAGCGATTCGGGTTTTCGTTATTTTGTTCTCTTTGTAGACGACTACTCGCGGTTTTGCTAGTTTTATCCGCTAAAATTAAAATCCGACATATATAAAACATTCAATTTATTTCGGGCAATGGTGGAACGGTGGTTTTCCCGTTCTATCAAAGCCATCCAGTCCGACTTAGGGGGTGAATACCGTCGGCTTCATAATGTTTTTGAGTCTCTCGGCATAACTCACAGACAATCATGTGCCTATACACACGAACAAAATGGTCGTGTTGAGCGTCGGAACCGACACATTGTCAAGACCGGCTTAGCCCTACTGGCTGAAAGCTCAACTCCACTTCAATATTGGGATTATGCGTTTGAAACAGCTGCCCATTTAATCAATTATTTACCATCTTCAGCCATTCAGTTTCAAACACCATATTCGCGTCTATATAATACTCAACCGTCATACAACTTCTTCCGGGTATTTGGGTTCCGCTGTTATCCCTATCTACGACCTTACAACTGTCACAAAATGGAATACCGGTCGGCACCATGTGTGTTCTTAGGTTACCCAGTTTCTTATAGGGGATACCGCTGCTTAGACTTAGCCACGAGAAAGATCTTTTTCTGTCGTCATGTTCGGTTTGACGAGTCCACTTTCCCCTTTTCTATGCAGGCATCTATGCAGGTCACTACCAGGCAGCCTACCCCCACACCCTGGGGTTCCAGTCCTGTGCTTGTTAATACTCAAGCCCCACCACCGGCAATGGAGTTACCTTTGGCATAGGAACCGCCTCAAATAGCTATAGAGGCTGCCCCGGCTCCAACTCGGAGACAGCGGAAGGCTAAAGCGACCCAGAGCGAAAGTCATGTAATGCGCACCCGTCGCAAGACTCGTGGGACGGATGAGCAGTTTCATGCGCTCACCGCCACCACAGATCTCACGTGTTACTCGCAAGCAGTAGGGCATCCGCAATGGCGGGATGCTATGGATCAGGAGTTTAATGCGCTTCTGCATAATAAAACCTGGAAACTAGTCCCAGCAACACCGAACATGAACGTCATCGGCTGCAAGTGGGTATTCCGCACTAAGCGTAAAGCTGATGGCTCGATAGAGCGCTATAAAGCACGCTTGGTGGCCAAAGGGTTCAACCAAGTAGCTAGTGAAGATTTCTTTGACATGTTCAGTCCAGTTGTTAAGCCGACCACTGTCCGAATTTTATTTTCTCTGGCAGTGTCTCACAAATGGACCATGCGACAGCTAGATGTCCACAATGCCTTTCTGAATGGGCACTTATCCGAGACTGTTTACATGAAACAGCCACCTGGATACGAGGATCCTACACATCCGGATCACGTGTGTCACTTGCAGCGTTCGCTTTACGGCTTAAAACAGGCACTAAGGGCGTGGTTTAAGCGCCTACATGAGTTCTTAATATGCACAGGATTTCTGGCCTCCAAGACTGACGTGTCGTTATTCCACTACACCGACAGTGAGTCTAGGGTGTTCTTGCTCGTCTATATCGACGACATTATCATGTTTGGCAACGACTCGGCGTTAATTGACTCGCTCCTACGGCGACTATCATCTACTTTTAAAATCAGGGACTTGGGCAAGCCTACCTTTTTCCTGGGCATCGAGACTTTGGCCAACGATGGTGGCTACCTTTTATCTCAACGCAGGTACATGGCGGATATCCTATCCCGTGCAGGTATGACAGACTGTAAAGCCTTGGCTACACCGGCATCAGTCACTCAACCAGTAACGCCAACACCGGAACCGTTTGATAATCCGACTCAATACCGCAGGATTGTTGGAGCCCTTCAGTATCTGACTATCACTAGACCAGATCTCTCGTTTTCGGTAAACAGACTCTGCCAGTTCATGCACTCTCCCACACAGGATCACTGGGGGCTGCTAAAGCGGGTTCTTCGGTATGTCAAAGGTACCCTTGACTACGGGTTACGTCTTTCTTCCTTGACATCTACTGCACTACATGCCTTCTCAGACTCGGATTGGGCTGGGTGTCCTATAGACCGGAAATCCACTAGTGGCTATGCAGTCTTCCTTGGGTCTAACCTCATATCCTGGCTTTCTCGCAAGCAACGCACGGTAGCACGTTCCTCGACTGAAGCTGAGTACAAAGGGCTTGCTGACGTAGCAGCTGAGGTCACCTGGGTCGTCTCCTTACTCCGGGAATTGGGCCTACATTCTGGTAATCCTGCAACGCTGTGGTGTGATAATCTGGGGGCCACATATTTAGCGGCAAATCCGGTGTTCCATGCCAGGACAAAACACATCGAGATTGATTTTCACTTTGTTCGTGATAAAGTGGCTTCAGGGGATTTCGTTGTCAACTTCGTCTCAACCAAGGATCAGCTAGCTGACATCTTCACCAACCCTCTGCTAGCTCCGTGTTTTCATGCTCTTAGGGACAAGCTCAATGTGGACAGCATCCATCCTTGTGCTTGAGGGGGTGTGTTAGTAATAGTAATATTTCATGTTTATATTATATGCTTTAGAGTCTATGGGTGTAATGTAGTCAAATAGTCCTAGCCTTAATAATAGGAGAGTCTTCTGTTAACTCTCCTATAGGACTCTGTAGTTCTCTCTCTCTGTATTCGATTGGTTCATTCTATTGAATTTGTAATTCATCGTCTCATCGCATGAGACTGCTTTGATTGTAATGCAGGAGGCAAAGAGTAGGGGCATACCTATTATAGTTGATGCAGAAAGGTTAAGGGAGGGGGTTGGGTGATATTCCTGACTTTGCTAGTTATGTTGTATGCTCGACAAAATTTCCACAGGCATGGACTAACGCCCTTTCTATTCCAACTGCACTTGTTTCCATTATCTTGAGATTGATGTCAAATGTAAAATTCGTGATTGTTAGTTGGGTGAAGATGGTTTCTTAATGTTAGAAAGGACTGAAGCGGATAACCTCAGTTTGAAGAAATGGATGTAGCAGTGACCAATGGATGGAGAAATAGAAGGATTAGAACATAAAAAGACAGAAAAACCCTTCTAATTCACGGTCAACAAACGGCGTCATTGATGGAGGATCAAAACTGTCCAACGATCAATAACAGTGGCTACTAAGTGGCAATTTTTATTATGGAGGATGAAAAGTGTCAATGCCCCAATAAGTCTAGGACCAAAAATGGCATTAACTCTTGTATTCTGTGAGTCACAATAATAATATAACAATAATTAAATATTGTTCAATTCTATATTATTCTAAGATTTCTATTGCCATCATTAATTATTCCCAAATTTACCATAATTAAATAATTTGACCAATTATAAAGAAAGATTATTAAATAATGCACGGGACAATTGTTTAATTAAAATTTTTAAAAATTCATTAATAAAACATAAGGTTATCATAGTTTTTTCTTAGAAACTCTTTAATAAAGTTTTTTTTTTTAGGAATTGGTGGGCCAAACCGCCTACGGCAGTTTGCGGTGAATAGATCTCGAAAAAATACGCGATTTCAAAAAAACATTTGTCCAAAATGGACAACGGAGTTAAAAGTTATGCCGTGCCGAACTTTTGACACTTTACAACTTAAAAAAAAAAAATTAAAGGCCGGTTCAGCCGGCTAGGCGGCAACTGAGGAGGCCGATTCCGGCCTTCCTCGCCGCGACCAGATACACGATTTTGCAACACTGATGTATAAAATAGATATAGATTAGAATAGGAATAGTATTACACAATTTTATAATATTACAATAAAATTTTAACCCAGAATTATTGTAGAAATCAATATATTTTATTAGGAAGAGAGATTTTTTAGGAATTGGGCGGGAAGTTAAAATTTCAGGATTTTGTTTTTATATATAGTATAGATTGTATTACACTATTTCAGGATTTTGTTTTTATGACTAAATTACCCATGGCAAATCGGAGCTATCGCCGGATTGTTGACGGACTACGACCGGAGGGGCTAAATCAACTAAAAACAGTTATTTTCAGGGACTAAATCGATGATTACGCGATTAAGGGATTACATTGATATTTTGCTAACAATTGAGGGACCAAATCGTTGATTTTCCCTTTTTAAACTATTATTATTTTATTATTATTAAGAGTGCGTTAAAATGATAAGGATGTGAAACTAGTGCTCACTTTTAAAAGTGAGTTTGAGTTGTAGGGACATCGAGAAAATAGTGATGAAATTGTAAATGTAGGCTATGTTTGGCAAATATAGCTGAAAATGTAGTTGAAAGTTGTAAAGTTATAAGCTAGAAGTTGAAAACTGAAGAGCTATTAACTAGCTGATTATGCTTAAAAGTGTTTGGTAAAATTAGATTTGTGATAAGATGATAAATGTAAAAATGTTAAAAAAGACATTTTCATAAAATTTAAATGATGTGATTATTATATTATTTTTATATTATTAAATATATGAGATATATTTAATTTTTTTAAAAAAGTTTTTGTTTTTATAATATATATATATATATATATATATATATATATATATATATATATATATGGATTTTAATTGTGAAGGGTAAATGATATCATTTATTTATGAACGAACGATTGGAGTTAGAATTTTAAGGAGGTGCTTGGCGGTGAAGAGTTGCGGAAAAGGATGAATAGGCCAAAAGAGTTTTAATTGGGAAGGTAAAGGAATCATCTATTTAAAATAATAAAGATAAAAATGAAAAAAGTTAGGAAGTTACTAGCTTATTTCTGAGACGCTATCTAATGTAACTTTTCAAAATAAGTTCTTATTTTAAGCTATTAGCTTATTTTATGAACATTACCAAATAGAATTTATAACTTATTATTAGTTTAAAATAAGCTATAAACTCGCCAAAGAACCTTAATTATGTAGAAGTAAGATCAATTTTTAAAAATGAAGGAGCATTATATAAAGATAAGAACAACCTAAGAACAAGTTAGCTCAATAGTAAATTTGAAATAGAGTTCTACTACATGTAATCTTAAATTTTACTTCTTCACTTTTACTTTATGATGTGGTAAACAAAGTAAGATACTTTCATCATGTGAGTCCCATAAAAAGTGTCTACATAAAAAATTTATAAGAGAGATTAGAAGTTAGGAGTAAAAAATTAGGGTACATGTAGTATTTTTTTTTCAAATATCTCAATCAAGCACCTAACGAGAATGCATTCCGTCATAGCTATGCGTGCCATTTATTTATTTATTTATTTATTTAATATTTTCGACAGAAACTCAATCAAGCATAATGTGAATTTGTTCTGCTCTTCTTTCATCTCTTTTTGATGTACAAATCATGACAAAAATCTAAGAAAGATCCTACTTTTTAACTAATAATGATGCATGCTCTAAGAAAAATATTATATATACCCTCTTTCTCTACTCCTAATTCTTATTCGCGTACTTAAAATTTCGATGTAAATATACGTACAAGAGCTTACATGAAAAAAATAATTTATTAGTATCTGTCATATCATAAATATATTTGAAGGAATAAATTTTAAAGATACATATAGTAGAACTCGATTCTTTAATGCCTAACAGAGCGTTTGGTTGGAATGAAGGAAATAAAAGAAAAAAAATGGTAATTTGGTGGGAAAAGAATAAACTGAGAATAAAGTAAGAATTCAAATTATATTATTTGATAGGGAGGAATATAATTATTCGGAAGGAAAATGAGAGAAGTGATATAAAGACTAAAATACCCTTGTGTAATAATATTAATAATAGCATTCAAAGACAAATATGTCATTTCTTTTTCTTTTTTTTTTTCCATTTTCTTTGTATGGGTGAATTGCAATTCATACGGGTAC